GCCCCCCCTTGGGGGGCGGAAGGATGGCCCATTTCCCCCTTTTTCCGGTTTTTTGTTGCCGGGGGTGTTCCGGGTTTTTTTTTGGGGGGGGGGGGGGGGGGGGGGCGCCCGATTTATATCGATCGTCGTCTTCTTGTTGGCGAGAAAAATGCATGCGTGCTTCTTCCAAGTAGTAGAGCAACAGCAGCGAAGAAAATCACTTGCTTCATCACACGCTGTCTCTACGCGCACGCATCGATGGTAAGCAGGAAGATTCGCCCCCCCCTGGCCACGTCTTGGTTCGTGTATTTTTTTTTAACTTTTTCCGTCCGTGTGATGCATACGATGACGGTGTTTGTGTTTCGTTGGAGTTCTCCTGCCTTTTTTTATTCAAGAGTTTGTGACAGGGAGCGGGTGGAGGGGTCGAAAGCTCTCCCTCTCTCTGCTCCACGCCAGGCTTTCTTTGCCGATCGATGTGCTTGCTTGTCTGCACCAAGAACAAAATGCAGAAATATAATACTTAGCATATTATTAATGGACGAATGAATGTCTCCCATGCCGACCGAGTCTTTGCAGGATCGATCCTCCCTCGTTACTTTTATCAGATTATCAGAGAAGAAAGTTGTGAGTTGTTGTTCTTGCCGTAATAAAACACTCACTCGTGGTGGCCAAGGCCAAACGCTCGGTTCGGTGACAAGGGGCGTCTAGGCGTCGAGGGAGCTTATTCTTCTTCTGCCTTTCGCTTGACCAGCCCAGCTCTGAATGAACAATGTTCGCGAATTCTACGCTGCGTTTGGTTTTCATGGGCGAGGCCGGCTACCACCACCATGTTTTAATTAAGTCGGCGACAAGGGAAGCAAGCGGGAGAGCACCACCAACCAATCAACCAATCAACCAATCCTCCTGTCTGGGTTGTGCATTTTCTTCGAATAGGGCCGGGTTGTTCCGTGGTTTTGCCGGCCATTGAGATACAGCCAGCACGTGGCCCTTTTCTTAGCTGCAAGCACCCGTTTCGACGCGTACCGGACGAAGAGTATCTGGCGTACAACGCGCTGTGGGGATATGTATACCACATGCAGCGCTCTACCTCCGCCCACTACATGCCACTTTAAAATCTCTGGGTGGAAAAAAGAGAGACACCGCTAGATCAACTAACTACGGGATGGTTTGTTTTTGAGGTGCTACCGTTTCCTACCCTCAGAGATGAAAGACCGTTCGTTGGTTAACACGCTACAACACAGCTCTTCAAAATTATTTCAGGGCTAACCTCGAGGAGGCATCCATGCGCCAGCGTCGATTTCACGCCGCATTGTTCACTTCTCTCTCCCTGCATGTTAAACTTGAACCGACAGTTGTCTAGTTGTCGAGAATCTTATTATGCGGGCCACGGCCTTGCGGTGAACTGCCGCAAATAGTTCCATGTCCTCTTATTCTATCAGACAGACAGAGAACCACGAGACACCGAATAACGTGTACCTCAATTACAATAACAAAATAGCGGAATGAGACACGGCTCAGCAAAAAACGCCACCACCGAAAACGGAACTTTCCGAAAACCATCTCGGAAACAAAGAAAAAAAAAACGGGACAAGGTCCGCAAAAGGAAAGACACAGCAAAATAAACGCAGCTCAGCGAGCAACTCCATACTACCCCCTGCCCCGATCCGATCACCCCACGGGGCGACAGCGCTGAATGAACTGGTTTCGGCCTGTTCACGAAAACCACAACAACAACAGCGTTCCTCAAGAGTGCCCATAAAAAAGGGGGGTTCAGGAGGGCGATTGTTGAAAAGCGAGACTCGATGGCCGTACATATGTATGTTCTTTCCGCTTTGGCACCTCTCTTGGGGGAGCAAGAGTCGGACTAAACACCTGGTGGATGCCCCGTTCGGCAGAAACGCAACGCAACACACCCACCCATCAACCGGGCGGAAACAACACAGAAAATATTGGCTGTGTCATATCCATATGCATGCTTCCTTTCGAATCTTTTACATCCCTTCTTCCTTCTTGAAAGCTGTCAACAGCCTGCTGCGTGCATGTTCATGATGATGACACCGACACCCCCTATTCATGCCTCCGCCGCCACGCCTCGCCGCGCTCCCCCGCCTTCCTTCTCTCCGTAGGAAACCTCACGGCGCCCCCCCCCCCCGACCACCGCGAAATCGTGGAGGCGCCCGAACCGGTCCAGTCCCGCCGTATTCACGGACCGGTATCCCTCCCGCCATCGCACTCCCCACCCCACACAGGGCTTCGGTGGCACATGGAAAGATTGAAAGCCTCCCGGGTGTACACACAACAACATTCCCCCTCTCTCGCCGCCTATACAGCGGCCGCTCTGCCGTACATCAAATGTTATAACATACCACTGTACGGCAGTTCGTCTGGTCTCTCTCGACGCCTCCGCCGAATCTTCCTACCTATTATAGTACACATCAAACAACCGCGAAAGGCGGCGGCATCACGCGCCGCTTTTCTTCGCGAGCCCTCTCAACGAGCCCAAAGGCCTATTTGTGATCCACCGTCCCATCTCCAATCTCTTCTGTCAACCTCTTCCTCGTCGTCTCCACCGCAGAAAAAGAAACAGCCCGTTCGCTTCCACACACGCTTGGTTTACGGCCGCACTCTTGGAAGCGAGGACTCCACTCTCACTCACTCTCAATCAAGCCGCCCCCTTCCGCCGACACTTTCGCAAACCACGATAGTGCGCTACGAAGCACCGAAAATACGCCGTTGCGTACTCTTCCCCACCCCCTTCTCTCTCTCTCTCTCTCTCCCCCACCCCACCCT